GTGGCCAGCATGCCTATAAAAGGCACACATAGGTATGAACTTACAGCATATTTCGTAACGTTGCTATATTGCTATGTTAATCAAGAGTTACTTCGAGAGTAATATGACCCTTTTAAAAACATTTTCCCTATACTTTAACAATATTTACTTATCAATCTCCTAAAATCTACAATCAACTTACATTGTCGGAAGTATTGGTCACAGCTAATTAGACCAATTCTTTCAGCTCCGATAGTCGAAGCGGTTTCGAACGCTATGGACGGCATATTTCTCGACGGCCTTACCCAGATCATGCCATAATAGGTGAGAGATTGGATTACTTAAACTTGAAATGAGAGTCAGTGGTACAAAAGCGTGCGAATAGAATGGAGATAGAAAATTTTATGTAGTTGAGCGAATATATCGAATGTGAATGTTTAGGAGAACGCGAAGAAGACTCGATGAAAGTGCCTACAAACGATGAACGCAAGCTATCCGCTCCACAAGTGATTCCAAGGACGTCATCCTTCGATCAACCCATAGAGAACGGAACACAACCTCACAGAGCAGGTAGGCTTATGTGTATTGGCATATACTTTATCTTAGCTAGGGTTTCGATTGATGTGAAAATCAAAAGGTATAACTTATAGGTGTAAAATTCTAACCATTTCAGGTACGACGAGCATACTTTGTCGTGTGAGACGTGAAGAACTCGCTCGTGGTGGTCAACCATCTGTAAGATTAATGGCACGAGCCTTTGAAGCCATTGACAATTGCCCTGCCGAGAAACAAGGATTCTTTAGTATGAGGAAATCGCGTTCGGTTGAAACCACGCAGGGTAGGGATCCGATCAAGGTGAGACGAGGAAAATTCTCCAGAAAATTATCTATTTAAGGGAAGAAATGTTCACAGGTGGAAGCTCCTCCTCTTAAGCATAGTATGAGCAATGTTGAAGTAGAGGAAGCTTCACCCTATGCTACGCTTCCACGAGGTAAGACAGCGTTTAATATCTGAGAAGTTTAGTCTAATTTCTCATTGCAGGAGGACGCAATCCATTTAAAAATATGGGATCAAAGCTTG